TATTAACTTGAAGTGGACCGAGTCGTATACCCGTAGATATAGTAAATAGCCGGTTATATTACTACAATTTAAGATCGCTTGGTTGTGGCACTAGTGTACTATATCACCAGTTTTTACCGGACCTCTTGTTAGTCCACACGGATAGGTACCACCGCCCTGCCTATTTCTGCCGTGAAGCAGTAATGCGATTCGGTTTGAAGGGTGGGGCAGCCGTTGTAACTATACTGAGACCTTACAACTTATATCTCAAGTTGGGTGGCACATTTATGTCGTAGATGTCCATGGGCTCCAGTTACCACTTAGCACCAGGTGGGCTGTGAGCTCGTCCACCCATCTAAGCAATAAATAAAAAAAAGACCTTGCCTGTTTCTTTTGTGAAGCGATCAATACACGAATGTTTAAGATGAAACAAAACTTCGAAATAAATATTTTAATTATGAACTAATTAAATTAATTCACTTTTATGATAATTTGTCTGTTTTATATTTTAAATGTATTTAAGAATTTACGTTTTTTTTTTATATTTCGTTTGGCAACACTTTATTTTATCGCTAACTTTTAATGTTTTCGCTAAAATTATGTATTTTATTATCAGTGAAACACTAGTCAATTACATTACGTAACAGCAGTGACTAAATTAATGAAATTCGCGTTATATAAATGACCGAACGAACACACCTGAATTATGTTTGTATTTCCATTCATATCCTATGCTGATAGCCTTGACAGACTATTTCAGCTTCTCCTTGACGTATAAGTGAGCTCACGGGGCTTAAACCGGTAGTATTGCGGGGCCCTGGCAAGAGCAGAGCTTCGCAGAATCTACCACCGGATCGGAAACGCGACCCACTGAGAAGATCCAGCGAGAAACTCAGCGGGCTGTGTCTATGGGTGTAATTCAATGAACTATAGCGAATTACAAATAATGCAGACAGTATATGATGCTAGCGTAAACTTGTCATGACAGTGGCAATTTTTTTAATGCAGGTTTATCGGTGCCCGGGTGGCCCAGAGGTCTTTTCAGTTTCACCAGGTCAGGTGGGCGAGCAAAGTCTCAGCCAGGAGGGGTGGGATTTACTAACAGCTGCCCGAGCGCTTTGAAAGGAGACCTAACAACTCAAGGGCAACTGCTTAACAAATTAATCTACTACCGGATCGGGATGAGAAGATCCGGCGAGAAACTCAGCGGGCTGATGTATGGGTTTAGTTGCACGTCAACTCGAACTGTCGAGTTAGACGAGTATGGTTACCAGAGTCCCTTAATCATGAGAAGCCCTAATACAATAATTATTGGATCTGATGGATCCGTAAGGACGTGTCTAGAGCATCGACGGTGACTGGCTCCTGCGTGGACAGGAGTCGGAGAGAGTGGTCAGCGGCGGCAACGATAAGGCTATTATCATGGCGCATAGCCCTATCGAAGTACCGTTCTGACGCTGACTTCAGGTGTTTCTGGATCGATAGCTCCGAATGAACGCGGTGCGGTCACGGACAGTATCTAGGATGACTCCCAGGTCAAATAACCCGGTCCGACCCCCGTCGGCAGGGCATCCGTAAGAACTGTGTGATTCCACACCATTACCAAAAAAAAAATTGACCTTCCTGGCCCAGTGACAACATAAGCGGCTACCTCTTGTTTTATATTTAAGATATTAGTGAAATACTTACAATAAGGATACTTATCTACACTTATACGGCTCCTAAAGAAAGATTTATTTTTATTTTTATAAGATTTTCCCAGAGAAAATATTTGATTTCTAATGTCGATTTCTTTAGAATCTCGACCTATTGAAAACGTTATAAATTGTCTTAGAATCTTGTAATTTGCGGCTCAAGATAAAATAGTTGTTTGTTCTATATTTAACTAAAGAGTAAACTTGAGATAAACTTATCAATTTGACGTTATATAACGTCATAGATTTGCTATAAAATTAACAAAAATATCTCGAGATTCCGTTCATGGTGTTGAACAATAATTTAGATTTTAAAATATATTAATTCAAAATGAGTTCTTATAGAAAAACTAGCGACCCGCCCTTGCTTCGCTTCGGGACTATAATTTATTATTGACTAGCTGACTCGGCAAACTTCGTAGTGACTCAATCGATAAATAAAAGACCTAAAAATTTGTATAAAATAAACTTAAAATAAACAAAAGGAATCCGTCCGACGGGGACACATCTAAGGAAAAACAAAATTGTTATTTTTATTTAATTCCGAGCATTTTCATATTTATCTACCTTTTAAACCTTCTCTGGACTTCCACAAATAATTTAAGACCAAAATTAGCCAAATCGGTCCAGCCGCTCTCGAGTTTTAGCGAGACTAACGAAAAGCATTGAATGCTCTTAAAAACATTTGTTTTAACGATAATTAGTTTTTTTACACTATTTGCAGCACGCACTCTGTCAATGTTATGTCAAAAGCCATAAGGTTACATTAGAAAAATTAATATGGTGGTTATTTATTCTTAAATTTTCTAATTTTGCGCGCAATTTTCTTATTTTTTTCTTTGTTAAGAGCCTTCTCCTGACAATAAAAAACGCAACAAAAAAAGAATTATCCAATTTCGTTGCCGGCGTTCTGAAGCTTTAAGCGTACACTGGTTTACTGCGTTTACTGGTGGTAGGACCTCTTGTAAGTCCGCGCGGGTAGGTACCCCCACCCTAGCTATTTCTGCCGTGAAGCAGTAATGCGTTTCGGTTTGAAGGGTGGGACAGCCGCTATAACTATACTTGAGACCTTAGAACTTATATCTCAAGGTGGGCGGCGCATTTACGTCGTAGATGTCTATGGGCTCCAGTAATCACTTAACACCAGGTGGGCTGTGAGCTCGTCCACCCATCTAAGCAATAAAAAAAGAAAAAAAAAAAGATTTGTGATGTCGTGGGACACCGGATAGGAACGAAGTTCCATATTATAAAAATATTAATTTTAAGTTCTATTCGAGGTATAAAGAAAATAATTATTCGAGTATACATTTTTTTATTGCCAAAATAAAAATAATAGCAAGGGTCAACCACTTCGCAGTTCAATGGAGCAGCCCGCCCTGGGGGAACCGCCTGCATGAACACGGTATCCCGACGCCAGGTAACTATGATTTAGCAAGAGAAATACGAGAACGTCTATCAACTGTGTAACATCTCGTCACGGCCATTCAGGAATTGTTGAATTCACGTGCAGCGACATTTGTTGATAACAAACTAAATAGAAATAATCTTACGTTACGGACGTTTTTTTCCCGCTTAGGGTACCCCTCCGCATCGTTCCATAAGGAACTTCGTTCCAAAACTTTCCAAAATATAAAAGTAATGACACATTTCTCATTCGATGTTCTAGCGTAAACAAATAAAACACAAATTATATACATGTAGGATTGGTAAGAATGGAACGTATGAAAAGAGCGTGGAACGGAGCGTTAAGATGTGAGTGAGAAAAAACGGAAAGAAAGGGAGAAGAGAATGACAGATAGAATGACAGAGAATCGGAAGATGGCGAAGACGGTTGAAAAAAATGAGTAAGACGTAATAAAATTACTGTTAATTAATAATTACTATTATAATAGAAGATTTTGGAATAGTGTAACTTTTATTTTATGCGCTGCGATCCCTATTCTACATACATACGTATGTAAAACGGAAAATACCAACCGAATCACGATCGTCTTAAAAATTCTTATCACTGTTAACATAACATGTTTTATCTGTCTCTATTGCGTTAGACAGCTGTAACCAAATATTAGATACACAGTCGATGTTACATGTTTGGGTTGCCTACTAGATAGAGCAATGGTAATTATTATTTCTGAGAAGGAATCATACGTATCGCAGTTTGTAAAACAGCTCTCGCGAATACGGCATGGCGAATAGCTAGTTTCTTTCGACGCCATTATTTCGAATTAATATTATAAATTATCTATTTATTAATACGTGAAGCAAAAACTTTGTATCCCTTTTTACGAAAATTGTGCGGACGGAGGAGTATGAAATTTTCTACACTTATAGAGAATACAGAGAAGAAGTGCACAATGCTAATATTTTTTTTAAATAATGCATATAAGATACATTAAATCAATAAAGAAAACATTACACACACTACATACCCTGTATTTGACGCACACACGCATGCATACTATTTATTGTCAAACTTTTGTTCTTGACGTCTGTTGTCAAATGGAGAATAGATTAAATATTGTTTGTCTTTGTTAATATTTTTTATAGTGTAGTATCGGCGAAATTTGTGATTATTGAAGTATAAAATACAATCATAATAGTGTACAAACTTACAATTCCAATTAATTATAGCCGAATTTCGACTACTGCGGGACCTCTAGTTTACATAAATATTCTATTACTGGAGAAATGATATAGTGTGAAATGAGATGATTTGAGTTGATTTGAATGAGGTGATTTATTTGAGACTAATCGATTGGTACAGAATTAAATGAAACTAGAAGAAAAAAGAAGAAAGAGAACTAGAGAAAGACTAGCAATATTGTGAGCTCGCCACCACCCTACCTATTTCTGCCGTGAAGCAGTAATGCGTTTCGGTTTGAAGGGTGGGGCAGCCGTTGTAACTATACCTGAGACCTTAGAACTATATCTCAAGGTGTGTGGCGCATTTACGTCGTGGATCTAAGCAATAAAAAAAAAGATAGGCACTACATTTGCGGCTTTGTTTCATCTTTCCACAGTTGTACCTTTTGACAATAATAGACGGTAAATAAATAACCGTTATTACACTTTTACACATAAATGAACAAAATATAACAAAACACTATACTTGGCTAGTTACGTTCCACCGTCAACAAATCGAAAAATTTAGATTATCACATCTCGTGGCTATAGTCCGACAACGGTGTACATGTAGTAATGTCTAAAAGCTCTAGAAAACAGCTTTAAGTCCGTGCGCCAGAATAAGAAACAATGAGCTGTTACCCCATATAAAACATAATATAGATCTTTAGTTTCTAAGTAAGAAGTACTTTTGAAAAAAGTGTGTGTGTGCAAGACGCAAGTCTAACACGGTAGAAGTCTAGAAGTGAAAGTTATAAAAAATGAAAATAATCGCAAGGATCAACCACTCCGCAGTGCAATGGAGCAGCCTCACCCTGGGGAACCGCCTGCATGACAACGGTATCCTTATGCTAGGTGAGTATGATTTAGCAAGAGAAATACGAGAACGTCTATCAACTGTGTAGCATCTCGTCACCGCGATTCAGAAATTGTTGAATTTACGTGCACCGACATCTGTTGATAACAAACTAAATAGAAATAAAAGTATCTCAGGGCGCTCCGAGAGCCACGACAGCGTGCACGGACGTCAAAAACACATTAAACTAGTCGAAGACGCGAGACCGTGTGGAGCGCTTCGTGATTTGTCGGCGCCGCTCGGAGCCGCTTCGGCAAGCCAATCGCGGCACACTTATTTTTTCGTTTCTTTTCATTTCGTTTCATCGAATTTGAAATCACAACGATTCTAAAGAAGTTTCACTTCAATAAGTTAAATCGCATTTCGAAACGCGCGCCTTTTTCAAAACGCAGTCGCTTTCGATGAATTGGAGACAGAGAAGGAGGAGCACGGTAATTTTCCTCTCTGTCCTCTTCTTCTTTGGAGGTGCCGGAGTCCGATATAACCCGGCCCGTACTGTCCGTGACCGGGTATCCAAAAATGTGTGTGTCCTCAGTATTAAAAAAAAGGTGGTATTCTGGAAAAAAAATTGTTTAAGTTCTTTTTTGTTTCTCTCCCTAGAATAAGAATGGATCTCTTTCTTTCTGATAACTAGGCGAGTGATGTACAGTTAACAACTTTTCGATCTTCCTCAGAGCATGTTTTACTTGTGTTTTTATTGCCCTTTTACTGGCTAAGACAGGCACACTCACGACCGCTTGGTTGGAAGTAACTTCTTTTTTTTCCCTACCTATGATGATAGCCTTGAGAGGCTATATCAGCTTCGTCCTAACGTGTAGGTGAGCTCACGGGGCTCAAACCGGAGTGTTGCTAACACTGGCTCTAGTAAGAGAAGTGCTTCGCAGAATCTACCACCGGATCGGGAACGCGACCCACTGAGAAGATCCGACGAGAAACTCAGTGGGCTGTGTCTATGGGTTAGTAACTTCGATGAAATATCGAAGACCTGGTCATGATAAACTACTGCGCTTTCTTAATTTTACTTCACAAAATATATAGATAGTTCATAAAATCACAAAAGATATAATAATTATAGCTAGTTTTAATAGATTTCTTCGTCATTCTGTCGTACGTGTTGTGTAATAAAAAATAACAAAATTAAACCAAATCTTATTCGTTAAATCCTATCGTAATTTTATTATTTTTCATTCCTTTTAATTTTAATAATATCAATTATTTTAAATTAAAACCACTCTTACGGTTTAATCTCGCATTTTAATTTAAATAAAATAATTAAAATGAAATTTTCCATTATTTTTTTTAAATAACCCTGTGCTTAAACTGCCACATTAGCTTTACTTATGACTACGACTTCCGAAAACCGAAGCAAAATAAATAACACTTTTGCCGACTAATTTTTTTTAAGTCACTTTTAGTGCTCTCAGCCCTGGCAACTCTAATTGTAACGTTAAATTGTCGTCAACTTGGGTAATAGTAATACATATTTACATATTAATGTCAAACATTTTTTAACGGTGCTCTGTATGTTTTTTAAAAATCCACATGTCTTATGTACACAGTATTCACCGTTGGTTGATATTGCACGATGGGTTATTTAATTTGTCACATTTGTTTGCCATATACATTACGAGTGGACGTTCGGATTAAAATATAAATTTCGTAGGGCGTGTGATTGGCAATTTTAAAACAAATAAATGATTTCGCAGTTTATATGTGATGGCGGAAGTAAATTTTGTTTGTTAATTAATTGTTAACAATTGCTCCGACAGATTCACATACTGGAAAAGTAACCATAGATAATACGCTTTTTATTTTATTAAATACTGCCACACACCTCGAGACATGAGTCCTTAGGTCTCAATTTTTACAGTACAACGGTTGCCCTGCCCTTCAAACCGGAACGCATTACTGCTTCACGGCAGAAATAGGCAGGGTGGTGGTACCTACCCGTGCGGAATCAAAAGATGTTCTACCACCAGTAAAACGTTTAATATAAAAGTAACTAACTAATGGACCATAGAGCTAGCTGTTATTAAGAAGGTACAGCGTCATTTATCTAGCATTTGTGGTAACTAGCTCGGTATAATTTGACTATATTTATTAAAATCAACAGATTCTATTTAGAAAAGCTATCACCTGTAATTCTGGATCTTATAATTATTCATCGTATTACTATTATTTTGATGTATTTTTTTATTTCAAGATGTTGGCAATAATTGAATTGTTGTTTGTACCTATAATCAACGTGACATTTGTCTCTAAAATATTAATATTTGAGTCGTCTATTATCAAAGGTGGCAATCTGTGCATTTGGACAAAAAAAATTTATTGATATGTCAATACAGATTTATTTGAATATAATCGTCTCCTTCAAAGAATACGGTTCAAAACCTGCATTAAATAAAGGTTAATAGTTAACCTGTTATTTATCTAAGATGTCGTTCCGAAGAGTTTTGTGACTGCCAATGGAATACAAAGTCAATAATTCGTTTTTCTGATTTACCAATAATTGTCCAAAAGTCAGATTGCCGGCTTTGATAATAGTCGACTCATTTATCCATTTATAACGTATCTTCTTGTAAATTCGACAATGTTCCGAGTTGTTGTTGATCATTTTGTTGTTACAACTAAATATATTAACAAATAATCATAATGTACTGGAAAGTTGTTATAGAACACAAGATATTTGACAGATGTCTGAATCTCGCTAACGACATTTTGAAGATAAGTATGCATATCTTCGGGTATAAGTTCGGAACATTTGGAATAGAATTGGATTTTTTTTTCTGGAATAGAACTGGATTTTTTTTTTGTTGCTTAGATGGATGGACGAGCTCACAGCCCACCTGATGTTAAGTGGTTACTGGAGCCCATAGACATCTCCAACATAAATGCGCCACCCACCTCGAGATACAAATTCTAAGGTCTCACTATAGTTACAACGGCTACCCCACCCTTCGAACCGAAACGCATTACTGCTTCACGGCGGAAATAGGCGGGGTGGTGGTACCTACCCGTGCGGACTCCCAAGAGGTCCTACCACCAGTGATTACGCAAATTATAATTTGCTAGTTTAGTTTATTTCACAATGTTATTCCTTCACCGTGGAAGTCAATCGTAAACATTTGTTGAGTACGTATTTCATTAGAAAAATTGGTACCCGCCTGCGGGATTCGAACACCGGTGCATCGCGTCATACGAATGCACCGGACGTCTTATCCTTTAGGCCACGACGACTTCTATCTTGTCGTTATCCCAAACGTATTCTGTTGGACCACGCGGTGCCATCATTATGTCTATCTCTGCCAGTGAGCATTATCACGATTTCAGAGGTAAGCCAGAAAACAGTAGAATTAGTCTTAGTAGACCTCGGAATCTACTTAGGTAGGTTGTGAAATCACTTTACAACCCAAAAGCCAGTCTTGTTATATGAACAAACCGATTGACCCAAAATTTAAATTTCTATCACATCAACGATAATTTTTTTAAATACTAAGGAAAACAACAGCTATGAATCTATAATAATTTATTGTTTTTGACCTGATATTTACAATAATAGTTTCATTTCTCTTTCTTCTTCGGCAAAAAGAGCGTAACCAAAGTCACAACTGAAAAAAAAAACAACGATTTTATCCAAATCTCGTATCTACATACTAGTGTTCACTCAATGATCGAAATTTGATCTTTAGTACTGATTGAATCAGTGGCGCCATAGTTAGCGGCCCTAACTGTTGCGACGAGGGTCGTGGGTTCGATTCCCACATCAGGCAAACATTGTGTGATGAACAAGTTTGTTTGCTCTTTGTCTGGGTCCTTATTATATCTATATGTATACATATTCAAACGTATATAAGTATATTTCCAGTCCCATAAAAATTACCCATAACACAGGGAATCATAAATTGGATCCAGGTGACCATACGTGATTTGTTCTTTAAAAAAAGCCTTTGAATTTAGATTTATTTTACGGAATACATTTTCTCTTTAAGCTAACATTCCCTATTTAAGCTACTTAAAGTAACTTAAAGTAACTTAAACTTGAACAAAGAAAGAACAGGACCAGTATTAAACTGATTGGATTTGTACAGACAACGACAAAATGATTCATTACGTAATTTTTCTCTTCTTTTCGTTATCCTCTCTTTTTTTAAAGTAAGAATAATCGAAGGCTTGTAGTGTTATTAACAAAATAAAATTTAAAAGTTTTTGTGACAGACCACCAAAAAGAAAAAAAAAGTTGACTGCAAAACCAATTTCCTGATTTGACCAGTACATGTACAAACCTTTATCATAAAATTCTAGTAATCAATATACATATAAAGAAAAAATATGTTTTTCATTGTGTCAGATTAAAACATAAAATATCACATAATATTAAATCTCATTGATCAGTAAAAAAATTATATGAAGGAAATTATTAAAACGAGCTTGCAAACTATAAACTATAACTTAATTAAAATTTCATATCATAAAGATAGGAAATTAATTTCCCTCAACGCTATAATGCAATGAATACCAAGTCTATGAATTAGATCCGATTTTTTATTAATTTTACAAACAGTTGAACAACTTTTATACCGAAATAACAGTAATTTGATTTTTTCGTGTTCTATATTATGTATGTATGTGTTTATAACAGTCATTGTTATCTCACAATCCAATTGCGTTACAATTAAGTTATTTAAATCATTTTTTAGGATTGACACACTGACATAGACACTGATTATCTTTGAGAGCAGATGAGCCTACGTATTGGACTGCAGTGGTCACCGTTGATAGTGGTGATGTTTGGTAGGCAGCGGCTTGGCTCTGCCCCTGGCATTGCTGAAGTCCATGGGCGACGGTAACCACACACCATCAGGCGGGCCGTATGCGCGTCTGCCTACAAAGGCAATAAAAAAAGAACACATCAGCGATGCCTATTAGCGCTTAAAAATCCTCTCAAACATTGCTTGAAGAGGAGCTCTAAAATTATAGCAAATTACAATTAAAACTTACACGTCATGATTCCGGCCATACTGAAGAACGGGATAATACATTGTATGTCTAGTAATATTGGAAACAGGACGTTTCCTACTAAAGTGCCGATCCGAGCAAACGTCATTACTAAAGAAATTGTGAGTGTCCTGAAAAACAAGCAGAGACAACTAAAATTCTCACCCACGCAACGCCTCGCATACTTTTCAACCACTTGTCAAGGTGTTATTAAAATACGCATTGGAATTCTAACTGATTAAAAACGTTATTATAAAAACTATTATAGATCTACTGTAGATATGTAACATATATGTATATAAATTATCTAAATTAGATATGCTACTATTTGTAGACTGTTATTTTCATTTACTATTATTTAAACTCATTTTCTCTTTCTTTGTTGTTTTTCTTATAGATTCGTGAGAAATTTTGATCCTCTTTGATATGCTTTGAGTAGATAACTTTAATCCAATTAAAATTCTTTACATTTATCCAAAAAAACTTCCATATGCAACATATTATGTGGTAAATTAAAAACGCTTACTGTTTTAAAATGCTAAATTTGAAAATCTGAAAGAATGGATATCATTTCGAGAGGTGTTATAAAATTTATAAAAAAAGTATAATAAAAGTTGAATGTAGACATATTCACAATTGTCAAGAGCCTGGCGTAAATTAATTTATGGGCTGCTATGGTCCCAATACCAGACAACTTACAATGATCATTAACTATACACATACATTTCCCTGAATGAGTTATACGCTACCATTTTACCAAGACTGTCATTCTTCTCTATTTTCACAGCAAAAGACAAATTAAAACTCCCAAAATTCTCACCTTACGGCTGTTGGAAAAAATTCTATCGTAACAGCTTGGATCAAGCTCTTAATGCTTTGCGTAATGGCAATGTCCAATGAGAATAAGGCGACGACTGCGGTTCTGGAATTGGCCCATCTCACGCCAGAAATTGCACCAGCGGAGATAAGACATAACGTTACGAGTAAAGCCTTCTTCCCTACTTTGTTAACGAGAGCTCCGGTGATGAAGTGTGGTAAAAGAGACACTAGGCCTATTATCATATTGTTTGTATAGGTTTCCGTTCCACTTTTAGTCTGAAAGCAAAATTATTATATTATTATGTACATACTATAGTAGTAAGGTATGTTTTTTATTCCCTAGACAAGCGAATGAGTGAAATATAGAGAAACGAATAAAACGCGATATATTTATCCTTTTGATATTTGAAAACTTAAATTTTGGTATAAATGTTTATAACAATAAAATTCTAATCGTAGAACAAAAAACGAATGGAGTAAAAGAAATACCATAATAAAAGTATCGGACTATGGCATTTTGCAATGGATAAAGTAGAGACATAACCCAAGGAATGTTTACGTGAAGCAGGCAGACGGTCGAAAAACTTATGCCAAATCACTATCTATACTAATTTAATAAAGCTGAAGAGTTTGTTTGTTTGAACGCACTAATCTCAGGAATTACTGGTCCGATTTATTGTTAAAATTGTTTCAGTGTTGGATAGCCCATTTATTGAGGAAGTGTTCAAGATTCAAATCTTCGCGCCACCGCTCCATATCGTTATGGCGTCTCATCGGCGTCTACTCTCTGTAATCTATGCCCACTATTGCGCACACGCCATTATTGCAATTTTTGTGAAAGTCTTTTCAATGCATTTTTTACTATTTAAAATAAAGTACACGTTATAAATCGAATTATCGTCAATTAATTTAAAAATCCATACCTAGCCCCTACAGAAAGGCTATAGGCTATACCTATATAACATCACGGTAAGACCAACACCAGCTTCGGCTGCGTGCGCTGCAGTAACGGTTAAAATTTCGCTAAAATAATGTATGACACAATTGTTCCCCTTTAAAAGATCTAAAAAAAAGTCCTCAGTAGCATATATCTATATGTTAAGGCTCGCTCACTATAACGTTTTTTATGCTAACCAAATTTGTTCTAAAATAAAGCATTATTTGTGAACTATTATTCCACGCGGGCGAAGTCGCAGGCAAAAGCTAGTGCAACAATAAGAGGACATCCCATAGGGGACATCACATAGCGGAAAAAAGTCGTTAACGCAGCCCTTAGACATGATAAATTTAAATGCGGCCACCCATCTTCAGATAGGAGATCAAAGTCTCCATTGTATTCTCAAACCTGAACGCATGGCTGCTTACCGCTAGAAATAGACAAAATGATGTTACCCACCCGTAATAACTTACAGTAGTTGTTCTTATTTACGTTAGATGGAATACTAATACTGAGCTTGACGTAAAATAGTTGTTGAAAAAACATGTGTGGTTGGATTTTGAATTTCCGGCTTAAGCATTGATTTTAAATTTTATTAAAAACTAGCTGACCCGGCAGACTTCGTAGTGCCTCAATCGATAAATAAAAGACACATCAAGGGGACACATCAAAGGAAAAACAAAATTGTTTGTTTTTATATAATTCCGAGCATTTTTTATATTTTCTCACCTTTTAAACCTTCCCTGGACTTCCACGAATAATTCAAGACCAAAATTAGCCAAATCGGTCCAGCCGTTCTCGAGTCTTAACAAGACTAACGAACAGCAATTCATTTTGATATATAGAGATATTAAAAATAATACAATGCAGAATTCCGAGTTCCTTTCCACATTTATATAAAATACATGTCACATCTTACTACCGACACTTTTAGGACTGTCAACATTTCTCAGTAACAAACTTGATGAAACAAAAACAATGAATTTTCATCAACAGTACATATTTTCTACTTTTCGTAACTCATCCTTTTCTAGTATACCGATAAAGTAATCGGAGATTTTCACCGCTTCACAAATTCGCACACACAAGTTTCGCACTTTGTGCATTCATGTGTTTTACCTTTGAGGCAAATCAAAGCGTGTAGATATTTCCTACGCTTTGATTTACGTTTCACCCATATTGACGTAAACCAATATTTACACCAGTAATTGGTATAATAAATTCAACAAATTAAAGAGCGGACGGTTAGCGTGGTATGGACATGTGATGCGTAGAGAGAAGATGCATGTGACTAGGAGATGTATGGAAACGGTAGTGTAAGGTAGAGGGGGAAGAGGTCGACCAAAGAAGACATGGATGGAGTGTGTGAATGACGATATGAAAGAGAGAGAGAGAGAGGAGTGAGTGTTGAGATGACGGCTGATAGGNGTAGAGGGGGAAGAGGTCGACCAAAGAAGACATGGATGGAGTGTGTGAATGACGATATGAAAGAGAGAGAGAGAGGAGTGAGTGTTGAGATGACGGCTGATAGGAGAGAACGGAAGAGAAAATTAGCTGTGCTGACCCCACCTAGTGGGATAAGGTGGAGAAAAATAAGAGATTGGTGTAATAAATTATTATATTAGGTATAACAATTTATCACATTTTAAAGGTACAAGTATACAACATTTTAATATTACTTGTCTAAATAACAGTTGTATACAGTAAAAAAATTCTCTAGCAAATAAAGGGGAGTATTTTCCTCTGTATTAGTCCATCAAATTTGGAAATAATCTACCTCCGTAAATCTCCAGATTTGCCTTTTGTTTGGCCGGTTGTTAGTTTTTAATAAATCCTTCAGACTGCCTCTAATTATCAGACACTGATCAAATTATAACAAATTATAATCCTATCGATTCTTGTCAGAATTTATAAAGCCTGTCGTAAAACTTTAGAGCCTAAGTAAAACATTGGAACGATGGACTGATTTGTTCTTTTTTGAATAAAGACGAAACAAATTTAATATACTTACAGGAACGCAATAGTCTTCATTTGTAGCATTACTGTTGCTTAATTTTAATTCACCTGTATATTTATCCAATAGGACACATAAATCTTGGTCGGCATTCATCTGACTATGTTCGACTATAGTTGATAATTGTGGAAACCAGAGTCTTACGACATTGTACCTGGGATAATAATGCATATTATTAATTTTCTTAAACAGAAGACTTACATTACGTCCTGGCTTACAATACGACCATCGTTAATAAAATTAACGATAAATTCAAAAAGAATGAAGATAATTGTGGAAAGGATTTTGCTATCACGGGTATTTTCTATATCAGCAGAATCTAAAACTCTGATAAATAACACGACTTCTTCAGTGGCGAAAATTAGTAACTGCTCATTTTCTTGTTGTCAAATTTTACGATACTTCAATCGTTGAGCTCCTCTTGATATCTCTCTTCTCTTGACCTTTAAATAATACTCGCAAATAACGCGGTTTTTCTTACGTTTTCTTTCAAACATGAGCTACCAATGTCTGTGACATTGATAGTTTATCCAGACAAAACTGCTGACGTAAAGTTGTTTATTAATGATTTAGACGAAAAATCCCCACTTCATCTCCTTAGAAATACAATCTGATCTTATTACTTAAAAATTGAATTAGACATTTGTTTTTGTATGCTAATTAGGAGAACAGTGGCTATCGATTTCTTTTCATCGGAATTCTCATTAAATACGACCTGAGTTAAATAATCCTGAATAGTTTATTCTGTGAATTTCAATATTTTAGTTGTATAAGTAAATTAGATTTCCCCTGAACGAAATCGAAATCATTTTTGAGTTTTCCCCTGCAAGTAGTATGTTTGCCATTCTTAATAATTAAACAGTAGACTATAAATGTAATACAAATTCCTATGCACGAATTTAAATTTATTCATTTCAATCTAAATTGAGAAACACTCCCACTCCCTCCACTATTTTAAAAACTAAACAAGGAAAGACCTTGAATACGTAACAATGGAAGTATCAGGACACAGGCAAGATAATGGGACTTATCTGTCTTCATAAAAATTTACGAAACAAACTGATTCTACTGGAGCTAGCTTGCCAGAAAACCTTATCGATCAGATTGGATACTCACTTTCCCATTATCAGAAAGAATAGAAAGCACAGTGTAAACAACAAGATGAGTAGTGACTTCCGAAAATTCGCTTTTACGTTCCGCAGGCTAATTAAAACTTGATCTTTAAGCGAATTTCGTTCTTTCTCATTCGTTATTAGGTCTTTTTTTATTTTGTCTTTCCACATGTCGACAAACTGTAAAAATGTAATTAGTGAATTACAGGTACAGTTTCCAAGATCTTCGTTCTTCGAGATTCTTTGTTTTATTTAGAAAAATACACAGAATTATTTCAACATTGATGTAACATTTCTTTTAATGGAAACGATTTTTAGTTCATATTTAGTTGTAGCTTTCACAACAGTAAGTCAATTATAGATAGCCTTTCTACAATAACCAAGCACACATTAGTTGGTAATATGAGCATAGCTAAAAACAGCTTAAAAACATTAAGAAGTCGTCGTGGCCTAAAGGATAAGACGTTCGGTGTATTCGTGTTGAGCAATGCACCGGTATTCGAATCCCAGGCGGGTACCAATTTTTCCAATGAAATACGTATTTAGCAAATGTTCAGAATTAACTTCCACGGTGAAGGAATAACATCTTGTAATAAAAATCAAACCCGCAAAATTATAATTTGCGTAATTATTGGTGGTAGGACCTATTGTGAGTCCGCGCGGCTAGGTACCACCGCCCTGCCTATTTCTGCCGTGAAGCAGTAATGCGTTTCGGTTTGAAGGGTGGGGCAGCCGTTGTAACTAACTATACTTGAGAACTTAGAACTTATATCTCAAGGTGGGTGGCACCTTTGCGTTGTAGATGTTTATGGGCGCCAGTAACCACTTAACACCAGATGAGCTGTGAGCTCGCCCTCCCAACTAAACAAAAAAAATAATAATAAATACGTAAATATATTTGCAGAAGGAATAATGATAACAATAAATGAATCTAATTTAACGCAGTGAATTAGTAAGTGTATTCTTACCGGGCACACGGAAGCAGTGTCGCATCTGTTGCTCTTATAAATCTCAATTAAAATGTGCCTTACTTTCGCATATTTCTTCTGAGTCAATAGGTATTTTGGACTTTCAGGTAACCGTGAATATAAAATGCAAGCCAGGAATGACCATAAAGATACCGCGAACAAATAAAAATTCCAAGTGTTTAGTACAACAACAAATATAGACGACTAGATTGAAGATTACTTTTTACTAATCAATGCAAAAGTGTATATAATACTACCTGGAGCCACTGCGGTCATCCACAGTGCGTTTCCAGAGGTCTTTTTTGCCACGTATCATCCGGCTATGGAATGAGCTCTCCTACACGGTGTTTCCCGAGCGCTGTGACATGTCCTTCTTCAAACGAGGCTTGTGAAGAGTATTAAGCGGTAGGCAACGGCTTGGCTCTGCTCCTGGCATTGCTGAAGTCCATGGGCAACGGTAACCACTCACCATCAGGTGGGCCGTATGCTCGTCTGCCTACAAGGGCAATAAAAATATTTATATATAGGTATATATATAAATATTACAATAAATAGTTATCAAATTAATATCAATGAATTTATTATTATATTAAAATGATTTCAAAACACTTTTCTTATTTTAGAAACCACACAAATTATATGCAAATAGAAATCAAAGAGAAAACAAAATAGCTTTGAGTAGACATACTTAGACGTTCTAGGATTTCGTTCTATGTCAATGGAGCTAGAAACATACAAAGGGTCTAATATAATGAAACTACACACACCAATTTTTTTTCACACGTTTCATTATTTTTTTCACAAAGCTGCTGAATTCATAAGTGAATTGAAAACAGACCAGATGATATAATCAGGGTGATTTGACCAACGAATGGGTCGATATAATTAATAGCCGCTGTAACTATTGCCAATGCATTATATCAGAGGGTAAATAAATTGACAACTAACTCTATTTTGATACACGCTAAGAAAAAATAGACCAGCAACCCTTAAAAGTTTGGCCTTAAATAAATACACGGAAAGGATTTAATATATACTTTATGAAGTAAATAACTTTTCTGACTTACCGAATTTACCGTCGAAAAATACGACGCGCCAGTCCTGGGTTAGTATTCCCCATGCCATCGCGGTACTGATTATTTGAGCAATAGCCGCAAAAGACGTTTGGCTCACCACTAACCTGTCTCTAATCTTGTTGTGGCAGAATTCGGATATATACGTTACTGAAGCACTTAATGATATTGCGAAACTGAAAGATATGAAAATCTATTTGTGATCTTATAAATGTTTCATGTGAAATGTGTAATAAATGTTTGAGACAGTTTGAAAGATGAGCAAGGCCTACTCATCACGAGCATCACGTATAGCTCAACTAATTATATATTCCAAGTATTCTAAATCAATTGAGACCCCGGTTTCGTTTGATTTAAAGATTCACAAAATTAAAACTAATGATAATTTATTCTTTATTATTTTCAGGTAACACTCACCACATTCCTTCAAAGAATTTAGCCGTCAATAATACTTCATAAGTCTGACTGGATCCAGCCAATAGGGTAAATATGAATATTCCTCCAAAACCCAATATTAAGAATCTCTTCCTACCAAATGTATCAGTCAAGAACCCTGCCAGGACCGATGAAAAGAGAGAACCTGAAGAAAACAAAGTGATTTAAATTATCTAATAGTAGTATAATAAGTACGTAAGGTAAGGTTGGCAGCAAAGTGTGTTCCAGTTTAAAGCATCGAATTTACATTATTTACTGGTGGTAGGACCTCATGTGAGTCCGCACGAGTAGGTACCACCACCCCTAATATTTCTGCCGTGAAGCAGTTATGCGTTTCGGTTTGAAGGGTGCGGCAGCCGTTGTAACTATACTGAGACCTTAGAACTTATATCTCAAGGTGGGTGGCGCATTGGTGTTGTAAATGGGCTCCAGTAACCACTTAAAACCAGGTGGGCTATGAGCTCGTCCACACATCACAGCCATAAAAAATAAAAATAAAAAATTAATCAAGTTAAATTATTATTTTTGTCCGGGACGCGCGTAGAGTGTCCTACTGTCGAAGGGGTCCACTAATTGAATGCCCTTAGCACTTGGCCCAAACTTCATTATTTCGTCCCGTATAGAATCGGAAAAGATAGAAACGTCTAAGCTAAAATATTTGAAGTCTTTACTATCGAATACTTGAACTCACCCAAATATGGCGAGGCGTTCAACATGCCTTTCTCTATTAGATCCATGTTCAGATCACATTCTGCCGAAGTTATAAGGTAAGATGTAGTGTGGGTCACCAGCACACTTGCTACTGATCCAGCAAAAGACACAAAGAGCAAATGGATGTGGAATCGTCCGAATTTACATTTTCCAAGCGCCTCATTCAGCTCTTGCATAGGAGTCACTTTATCTGAAATCATAAGATAATCTATGTAGCTGTTTGTTTATGTGAGATAATGTTTTGTCTGAATAATCTGATAATTGCTTTGTAAAATATTTTGTGGCTCACTTTTCACTGATCTTAATAAAATAATAATAATATTTCGTATTATTTGTCATCAAAATTAAAACTATTCTGGAATAACTTAGGAGAGTATCACTTTTATAAAATACAGCGTAAAAGACAAAAACCTTTATAATTATCACATTTTTATAGAATCAAAATACTCGTAAAAATGACACTATTTTTGTTGATAAGCTTCAATGTTTACGAAGGTGTAATGCACCGAACGTATTATTTATTACTTTATCAAGTATGGTAAACATTCATCATCATCATCATTTCAGCCTATCGCCGTCCACTGCTGAACATAGGCCTCTCCAATAGATTCCAGTGCGATATTAATTATATTAAATTAAACATTCATCATCATCATTATCCTGCCCTTCTCCCAGTCACCTGGGGTCGGCGCAACATGTTTTCTCCTTCCATACTTTTCTATCATATACCATTTCTTCGCTCACTCCCCTCCTACCCATATCGTCTTTCACACAATCCATCAATTTCTTCTTAGGTCTACCTCTTCCTCTAAATCCTTCCACATTCATAGTTAACACTCTCTTAACAACCTCATTTTCATTCCGTCTCATCACATGTCCATACCATCCCAAACGTGCACTCCTCAGCTTCTCTGTCACAGGTGCCTCTTTTATTAAATTAAACATTATTAATTATAAATGTAAATATCTAACGAAATTAATCCATTAAAACTCGTCTCCCACAAAAACCAGCATCGCATTTTCGCTTCCGTGGCACGTTCCAGTAGCTGTCTTATTTTATTTGCAGTGGTAATTCCATCTGTGTCAGCATCAAAACTGTTTCTTTTTTAATTAACTCTTGATTTTCTTTGATCTTCTTTTTAACTTAGCTCTAAAGCGGTTGAATTTTGATCAGTGGCAATAATTGAATGGAAAATCTGCCTTGGTTTTGTGGCTATAAGATCTTCTTGGAACTCTTTACTTATATTCTCCTAAACAACTCCCCCCAATTCGTAACTTGCATAAAAAATATACCACGTTATACCACCATGTCCCCGTTTATTCCACTTAACCTATAAATCGCATTTTATATCCAAGCGATCATGCAAAACATCTTTAAGATTGTCCAAAAGCTATTACGGATTTTATTCAATTAACTGTCGACATCAAAATGTTTTGGTACATTCTTTTAATAAAATTAATAAAGTATTTTTAACATAATAATATGGTTGACTTAAAAATAATGCTAAGGGATGAAGACAAAGAAAAATACCCGCCCAAAAACTACGTTTTTGATGACGAAAATATCGCAATTCTTCACAAACCAACAACGAAACTGCTTAAATATTAATTTGTATTTTTTTTACGTTATACATTACAAGGTAAAAAAAATATACACAATAAAGAAAAACAAGTAAAAGAAGTGTTGGACAAAAACATTTTAGATTTCAATGCAGTATGTCTATTGTCTATTTATGATCCAAAGAAACACAATAAACATAAGACAATTATATATATATTTTTACTCAACATTGATGACGAACAATGCACATTTAAAACACATTTATTAATTAAAACACATACAAAAAAAGATCATAAAATTACCATTTCCAATGGCACCTATATTATGTTCCATTTTCCCAAACTTAATTTGAGAATCTCCGTATTGAACACAGCTTGTTCCCTTATACAATTAGAACGTATCTCTCGCACTTATCACAAAAAC